TCCCTGGAATCAAACTCAGATCTTTTACATGCGACGGCACGCCTTGTCAATAAGCTTACACCAAAGATGCCGGTATTCTCTTTTCCCTAATACTTTTTCTCAGCTTAAGCTCTAACTCTAACTATTCACAACGCAGCCTTCCTGTGTGAGAATTGTTTTACGTCCCCATCAACCCACTTAAGGTAACAGTAACTTCCCGAAGCGGGGATCGAACTAACATCTGTCTGTAACAGCTATGAAGAGTCTAACCATTACACGACACCGTGGATGCCGGTGCGTTCCTGTGGACGCCATCAAGACCGTATCTGTTGGGCCATTTTGCTGGAAATACCTCACTTTTAGGCACGTAGTGGAACTTTTCTCTTGTCCTGCTGATTAAGTCATTGCGTGTGTGTGTGTGTGTGTGTGTGTGTGTGTGTGTGTGTGTGTGTGTGTGTGTGTGTGTGTGTGTGTGTGGGTGTGTGTGTGGGTGTGGGTGGGGGGGGGGTGAGTGTGTAAAGAGAAGCACATCAACACAACAATGGCCACTTAGTTTAGTTAGTGCAACAAAAAAGGGTAAGGAAAGAAAGAGAACCTGCCAGTCGCGCCCTGCTACCACCCACCGAGTCATATTTTCATTAAAAGTTTTTGTGTACTGTGTTGGGACAAAGTCCGACTTGGTAAACGCACGTGGTGTCGGCGTACTGGCGTTATGTACTGAACTGCATGTAGTCAGACTGTGATTATTTATGGGTAGATCTTGGTACATAGAACACACAGCTGGACGGCAGACACTGCACGCTGCCCTGTAGAAAACAGAATAGAAGAAAGAGGTTTGTTTGTTTGAGTAAAGAGAAGCACATCGACACCATGGTCATAAATTTTAGTGCCGGGAAAAGGTAAGACAGACAGACAGAAACAACAGAAGGAAAGTAAAGAAGTAGGACTTTCCAGGGACGCCCTCCAAACACCCACAGAAGAAGGAAGAGGACGAACTGGGAAGCTTAAGTGATGTACCAAAAGTAACACACATTGAATAAGGCGTGCATGCGTATGTGTGTGTGTGTGTCCTTGTTTGCTCTTTCATTACTAGATCGGAAGCAATCGTTACACTTGAGTTGGTGTTTTATCATTTCCTTTTTAATTTATCGATTAAAAATAAACAAACATCCCAGGCGAAAATTAATGCACAGCTCATATTCTTCTTTATTCATACTCTTCAACAAGCACTAGAGAGGCAAAACCACAAGATCAAACAGATATAAAAAGCGCGCACAAACACACACAAAAGGAAAACAAGTAATCTAGATCATCCTCTACCTTCATGTCCAAATCTGACTGATCTCAAAACACGGCCTCGAAAACAGAAAGCAAACAAGCATGCATGCATATATAAGTACACACCACTCATTAATTATTACCAAAAATATTATAAAGAATAAAGCTTGAGAAAGGTTTTATGTTACCCACGTTTATACCTGATGACTGGGAGCAGAGAGGAAATCTCAAATATTACTTTACACCCTTAACTTTAAAAGTGCATACCATTTATATGTGCATCATAATTTCTGCTTGACACACTCTTGCTGCCAAAAGAAATACTGTATAACTTATAAACACGTTCTGTCCCCAAAGTCAAGCAAAGAGCCTTTGGCGTTCCAACACTAGCCTTCTACTGCGCCTTTTAACACTTTTATAAATCGGTACAAGACATCAAAGTTCACAGCACAAGAACGGTGACCTTTTCCCTTTTGTATAGCTTCACATAATATGCAGCAATATCAACATAGTATAAAACAGGATGTCTATTCTCTTTTTGACATGCTGAACCTTCAAAATATGTGTCCCCACAGTTTGGGGCAAATAAATTATGAAATTATGAAAACTGAGCCCAAATGTGAAATTATGCGATTCTGTTAATAATTTTAACAAAAAATGATACAGGAAAATAATCAGAAATTATGCAAAAAATTATCAAATTTTGCAAGTTATGCGGGATGCATAAAACCACGGGGACAGATTTGTGACACTGAAACAAAGTCTTTGTTGTTTAAAAAAAGAAATTTAATGAGAAGGACATAGTATTTCTTGAGGTTTGAAGCACTTGTTAACTGGTGTGATATCTCAGAGATTTTTATTTCAAAATTTCAACAATACTCTTACAGCCTCTCAGAGGATGGAAATAACTGAACCTTGAGCCCCTGAAGCAATATATCTTTTTTCTACAAACACATTTGCAAAGTCTTGTTTTCACACATATGCCCATACAATGACTATTTCAATCATTTTATTCCTTATACAGTGGGTGTCGCATTCAACGAGGTCACATTCAACGAGAAGTAGACGCAATGAGGCAATCCTTAATCCCCGATTTTTTTCTCTATATCTCTTTGTAAATGTACGTCAGCTCCAACGAGGTTGCAAACAGACTGAAGTCGCTTTCAATGAGGTCGCGATAACCAAATAAAAGCAATTAGCAGCCCCAAAAGCAAACAAATTTTCTCCTTTCTCTCCATCTCACGCAAAGCACAAGGCCCATCCTCGATTCCTAACACATTGTATTGCTAGATCTAGTGTGCCTCCTAATATGGGCCCCAAAGCCAAGAGGATGGGGGAGGGTTAGCCTGTGGTAGGGATGGGAGGGGGTGGGTGGGAACGCGATGCCGGTTGTGTGAAACAGGGTGAACTCTGGATGGGTAGGTCTAGATCGAGACCTTTATTTTTTTTCAATTTTCTTTTCTTCACCTGATCAGAAAATCGAAGTTCCCGCCTTTACTTTATGTAGATCTAAGCCTAGATGTGAGAGGGTATGTTTCCACACGGGAAGTGTTCCGGGAAAAAAAATTTAAAAAGGTGGGTCAGAGAACAGCTCAAACACCACTGGTTCTGTATGAGATTCTCGTCATCAGGGGGAACAACTGTTTTAATTACTGATATTGGTACATCGTGTACTATAAATACGTGTCTCCTTTCTTTTCTTTAGCCTTAGTCACGTTCAACGAGAGGTTGGATCCAACGAGGACAACAAGCCGGTCCCGGCAACCTAGTTGAATGCGACACCCACTGCATATATGGCATCACAGAAAATACTGCCCAAATTAATTTACAAAATGGGAAAATTTTAAGATAGCGGAATAATCACTGCAACACACACTACGAATCAAAATGAATAAAATCAGCTCATCAAGATGAAGCCTGGGCCAATTTGAGCTGAGACGGACACGATGTCCCAACAGATAGACAGTGATCCTCTGTAAAAATTCTCCCAGCACAAGAATTGAAGTCAGGTCTTCTTTATGCAGTGGGTAAGCACCTAAACACTACATCACAGATGCTGGTAAAAGAGATCTAATAAAAATTCTGTTTATTTGAAGATAAACTTCCAAGGTGAACTAAAACTGAAAAGTAGCAAAATACAAAACACAGGTATAGTACATGTATTTGGACATTCCTATCAATATTAATTGAGTTATTAGGAAATACCAAACAGAACAAATACAATTATATGATCTCTGAGAACACTAGGCTACTTAACAGTTTTAATCTTGGCATAACTTCAAAACTTGAAACCCTAATGTATACACATTTTTTCTTGAGGAGAAATACAAACTTGAATTTTTTCATACCTATTCATTTGAAATGTAAAAAAATAGGCAACTTCATTTTAGATCAAAATATTTTAATTACAATCTTCAGAAAACAGCTCCTGTCAAAGGACGGTAGTAAACATAGCAAGGGATCATGTTTATATAACTCTCAGAATTTGATAAGGCACAGTTGAAAAAGCTTTGTCCCTACTTTTAGTATTTTTGCACCTAGACCTTGTCTAAATCCTATCTCTTTTGTTTGTTTTGTTTTTGTAAAGTGTTTTACGGCGCTCGCAACTGCATAGGTCATATGAGCGCGCTGGACACACATAATATTTTCAGTTGGTAGGAAATAATTTTGCCCGGGTGGCGGCCGAAGCCTACTCTTATCGATTTTAGACAACCAAGGGATCTTTAACATGCACAACTTGCACACGGGACCTCCGAGATTTTTCGCCCTTGTCCGAGAAGGCTAGGTGTAGATCTTTCCTACCAGAAGATCAGGGGTGTGGCTGAAAGACAGAAATAAGAAGGAGCCAAGGAGTAGTAGTAGAAAGGCTGCAGAAGAAAGAGTCACGAGCCCAGAGGAGGGGCAAAGGAGGCGATGGGAGAAAGAGGAGATGAAAGCAGACAACAGAACATTGCTTGAGAGCAGGAAAGGAGGTGAAAGGAGACAATTTTAGAGAAGAAAATTTTCCGGTCGCTACCCGAATTCGAACTCGAGACCTTTGAATAAGAGGCCAACACCTTAACCTCTGGGCCATGAAAGCCCTCCCACTCTCTTTTGCAGAGGACATGTCTATTATGCGAAAGTCTCCCATTACCATTTAAAAGATCAAAAGAATTTTGCAGAACAAATTGCGTTTCTGACATAAGTTTTAGCCACATGTATTCTTCAGAAAACCATAGATCCAGAAGCAAATTATTTTGCAGCCTTTCATTCATTTTCTTTTCAATTTTTGTGAAGGTATAAAACTTTCCTGACCACCAGGGAGATCTGCCAAAACAACACAGCCCTCAAAAAGACCTCTCAAACAAACTTGCATCTCATTATATGAGGGACAAAAAACATGGCATTCAATAAGAAGCTGCTTTACTATCCTGTCATAGGGAGGGAAAAAAATGTTCTGTATTCCTCTACAACGTTCAAACTAACAGATGATATCCCTTTATTTCTCATACGTAATCTGATCTTTTCACTGAAGCCATTCCAAAACGCAAAATAGTCTAACCTACCATGCACATAACGAAACCACCTGGAGACGAAAATCTGTTCATGACATACAAATTTTACAAAATGCAAAATAATGGACATGTATATGCAAAAATTTTGGGACCTAGAGTCAAAATCTGATCACTATGTGAATGTTTCACTGTGTGCATGCTAGTTTTTCTCCTTTTTATCCATGTGGCATTCAGTGGACAAAATCTCACCATGCATGGCGGCAAGATGCAAAGGCGTAGCTCTTTCACACTGGGGGTTGACACAGTTCAGGTCCAAGCCTTCACATCCACACAGAATTTCTACCATCACCAAATTGCCACTATTAGCTGCAGCATGAAGGGCAGTATTCCCCGTGTCAGCTGGCAGGTTAATCTCTATAGCTGGGTGAACCTGTGTGTGGAATAACAAAGAGACTTATATACTTTTCAACTTTTCCTAGTCATTTTATCATGATTCATTCTTGACAAGTCATTAATCAAAAACAACGTATTAATGAAATAAAACGTAATATTAGCTTACATACAGGTTCGTCCCCATCAACTGCCATTATTACATAAAAAGCATACAACACTTTGCCAAAGAACTAGACAACAGTGTTCTACTGAAGTCCACAAAAGGAACAGAAACACATCACCACGATAAGGATCATTCTGAGCTGGGGGGGAAAGAGCATGGCAGCAGACAAGAACACAAAAGCAGATAAAGAGGATGACAAGAACAACTTGTGACGTACCATTCCAGAAAAAAAAAGCAATACAAGTACAAGCTTCCGCTCATACACCTTTCAGGTTTTGAAGGAACAAAACTTAATTTACCATCAACTCACCCTGTTTACCAAATATTTCAAGACATTTGGTTGGTTGTGCATCACAGCAGAGAAGATCAACGAGCGACGATGAGAATCCGAGTGACTTGGATTCACGTGTTTATTGACAATCAGGTAATGAATCACACTAATGTAGCCCAACCTGTGTGGATACAAATGACAACAGATGCTTTGAGAATCAGAACAATAATAACAAAATCAAAGAGTGTGCAAAATTTTTTTTAAATTAAAAATTAAATATACTTTTGTACTCAAGCTTGTAAAAAATGTAAGTGGAATTTTCTTCTATTACGAGCAATAGAAATTCTAAAATTAAAAAATTAGACCCATCCCACAGAGTTTGAGTCACTCACAGGTTTGATACTATGAGGAAAGTGGAAAAGGGCTGTGTGTGTCCCAGGCAAGAGGACATCCTATTAGCCGATTATAAGAACAGAAACTGAAAAAAAAAATGTTTTTAAAGAACATTTAACTAGGGTTCACAATGAAACATTTAACACTCTTTTTTTTCTCATTTGGGTTTTGCAGTATCAAATTATATTCACTCATTATACTCTCATTCTCACAGTCTCTGTGTGTCTGATACTAAGTTAAAAATATAAAATCATTAACACAGAGAACGGAGCTACAAAAAGGAACTAGGGACCAAAAAAAGGAAGAGAGACGAAGAACAGATTTTCCTTAATTCACAGCATGCAAATGCTGTTGATGCAAAGTAGATTGGGGTAAAAAAAACTTGAAAGTCTACCACCGGACACATGTGACAACTTTGATTTAGTTTTATTAAATAAAGGCTTAGGACTTATGACAAGAATCAGTTTACATTTTCCCTTTGCATAGGTTTGAGACTGTCATAAGTGTGTAGCCATATATAGTAAAAATGTTTTGGTAGTTGAAGTTAGTCTGTTGCAACTCGTTTGTCAATCATAAAATTTTTCTAAATCTTAACAACACCAAGGAAAGAACTTTAAAGAAGCAATCTCCCCCCCCCCCCCTCAACCACACTCCATTATAATTGTAAACACCACAATTTTTTTTATCTAAATACCCCAGCACAGTCATTACTGTGACCAATTAGGGGGACTTTTTTATTAAATGCTACATTAGACTGCTCAGATCACGGTAGACCGTGGTCAGTCAGGATGGACTTGCCGTAGACCGCCACATATGGCATCAAAAGCAAACAAGTAAGACATGACATTAACCCAACATTCTAAAACAAGACCAATGAGCAGAACTCACCAACATGTTGATCAACACTAACACAAAAAATGATTTTACAATGCATGGGCATTTCACAAAAACAACATACCATCTCTCTTAACTTTTTTTCAGACAAAATTATTTCTCAAATCAAGAAAAGAGGGAACTGTTTACAGCCTTTTCTTTCCAATTTACAGTTAATTCAAATTTTTATGCAAAAAGAAAAAGAACCTAAAATTCTTAAGGGAAAAAAAAAGCACTTTCAATAAACTTTTCTATCAAAACCAGTCACCTCTATTATAACTGTATCTTAAAGAGCTTCTGTGCAGCTAGCTCACCTGATGGCCTGCAACATCCGTCTATGCTGCACATTTTCATCTGAAGAACACAGCTCATGAATCGGTAAACCTTGACTTGCACCATCACCAATAAGATTCCGGTAAAAGTTTATGATGGATGACCAGACATTCACCAGAGCAAAGGAACGGGTTGCCAGGAGCCACTGTGCATACTGACGGTTGGATGTGGAGCACCTTACATCTGCAAGCAATACTCTATACTGCTCGTGCTTTTCAGAGGCTAATATGTCCAGGTAATTGAGAAATAAATGAGGACCCTTAGCTCCTAACAGTGTCACGGGATACTCTTTAAACACAGCCCCACACATGTCCAATAAGTCACGTCTTACAACTGCCCCACTTTCCCTTCCTACAGCAAATGCAAGTGTCATTTCCTCAAGGAGGAAATCATACTCCATGGAAAAAATATCTCGTTTCTGAAGATCAGGGAAATCATTCAGCCAGAAGTGAGCAAATCTCACAAAATTATCACCTTTTTCACAAAACACTGTCAATTCATGAAGGGAATCATTTGATCGTGTGAGCCAGTTTGCAACAATCGTGGCATCCATGAATGTCAGCATATCATCGAAGTTGACTCTCACTTTGGGCCTACTTGATGCAGCACTTTTCACACGTTCAATAGAACTAGTGGAAAAAATCTCGTGTTCAGACACCACAGGAGAGCCTGGAATCTTAGAGACTGGAGGCAACGGCTGAGAGCGTGGTAACTCATGACGAGTTGGCTCTGTTGGAAGAGCACCTCTTTTCCTTCTCTTCTTTTTCTGAGATCTCGTAAAAGATGCAGTCCCAGCTGGCAAAGTTTTCACCCTGGGTGTGCCATCTCCTTCCCCTAGATCCGTGACAAAGACACCATCTCCACTGAGGAAGCAGTCAGCCGAGGCTGTGAGTGAATTCGAAAGGCCAACAGATGGGGAGCCATTTGTGACGAAACCAGAGTCTGGAGATACAACTCTCGCACTGGGAAGTCCATTTGTTGTGCAGGGACTTTCTAAATTGCTTGTTAAGCTCAGCGAACTGATCTCTCTTGACAACCTTCTTTCATTATCTGAGATATACTCCTCTTCACTCTCATGGAAAGTCAACCGAGAGACACAGATCAGGTCTCTCAAATCCTTTATACCTCTACTCATTGTCTTGTTAAAGAGCTAAACCTTTTTCACTTCAGTCTCACAAAAACACTCACAAAATTAGCTTCCCACTGAATTCAATGTTAGTTCCATAAAACAAAAGAAAAAAGTATGATTTCCAAATTTCAAACTTTTCTTTTTCTCGTCCTTGTTAAAGATTCTTGTTGAGCAAAACCAACAGTATGCTCATCAGCATTTGAAGTATTATTATCATCAGAGTTAATTTACAACATCATCAGTGTTTACGGTATCACTAGCATTTACCGCATCAATAGTGTTTACATCATCATCATTGTTTACAACATCTACAGTATCATCTGCATCATTGGGGTCATCAACTTCTATATCGAGATCGTCCAGATCAATATCATCAAAGTGAACAGCCCTTTCCTCACCAACTCTTATTTCCACACTTAGTCTTACATCTGCTGCCAAAAACAGAAATGTAAGATATGCTGGGAGCCGTATTCGTGACACCCACGCAAGACGGAATAGAAAAACAAGAGCTTCACTCAGACTTTTTGAAAAATCAGAATACAGTGACCCAATACCAGGGACAGATGTCTCTTCCATCCTTTGCTGAAGGCTAAAATTTTGTCTGACACTTGGCAGCAAAGGAAATGAGCCTACATCTTTAATTTTTAAAGCAACTGATTTTTAAAGGTAAAGTCTGAACTGCTTGAATTTGAGAATCACCAATGTTCCCGGTATGAAGGAATGGAAAGTCAGACTGTTACCTCTCTGCACTTCTTGAAGCTGTGAAAAATGTTGTTCTACTTTGACAAATAACAGAGAGAGCAATAGCAGAACTTGTGTTAGAAGTTAACAGTTTGATGTAACTAGGTCCCTGCAAACTACAGTAAAATCAAATCCTGTGCTGGCCAACACCATGGCACTCATGTGTGACGTTGTTGTTGGAGGTTGAAGTGTTCATTGCCAAGAGGACTGAATGATGCCTCTGTGAAATCCAATTATTGTTATTCAAGTAGCGCAAGTTGAAGTATCTCAAACAAAAAATATAGGGGATCGCAGGTTCTGGTGCTCTGCGTCTTCCTCGGCCACATACGATTGAGAAATTCGAGGAGGCACCGGCCCGGTTCTCAGCCTCAGCTTCTCACCGACTCTCAGGAATGTAACACTATCACTAACACTGCCGACACATATCTAAAAATCTTGATGCTGAATCTAGGGAGCAAACTGCAGATGAAAAGATGCAAAATCAGTATTAAAAAGTATATTTATCTTTCTGCTAAATCTGTAGGTATTTGTTCGCGTTTGCGAGCTTCCAAGAGTTGCAGTAGAAGACGGGTGCGACTATTCTGAGAAGTTGTGTTGATGTTGAATGTGTCGCCATGACGGAAGAAAACGAAACAGTAGTGAATACTAAAATATGAACGGGAAGTTTAGCGGATTGTAAAAGTTGGCATACAGCGACGACATGAAAGATAATTTATTCATTTCTAACTAGTATTAAAAATTCAACACTTAGAGACATGATTGTAATCGGTAAAGATGTTTATAAGAAAACATAAATTTTAGAAACTACCTGAAACTATTAGAAATTGTTCGACCAAAAAGACAAACAGTTGTTGTTTTTATTCAGTCTAAATATAAACATAACCTTTGACCTGTCAAAGGATCCTCCCAGCAGAGCCAGTCTTTCACTTTCAGTCCATTGCCGTGTTCAAAGTAATCAAAGAGCCCAGTCTCCCCAATCCGATGATAATAATTCGAAAAGTAAAGTCTGGGCACTTCTTACAAGATGTGTCGTTTTTGTATTGTTACTAGATCTAACTACATATATGCGTTTTAGATTCGACATACTTCCACGCACCTTGTTCTGCTTCAACTCATGACGGCACAGTAGCCTGTAGGCTATTGTACAGTAGTATAGGCCTACTACTTGAAATTAACTAGATTTAGATATCTAGATGTCTAGATCTAATCTAGATGTCTAGATTTCTACCAACGAGGCTAGCGACAACACAATAGCCGATAGCCTGACACCCGCAGAGCACGAAACTTCAGTTTTTATAGAGAGATATGTTTGTTAAATTAATGTTAACATAAAGCTGGTAGCTTCTCACCCTTGCATTGACGTCTCCTACGTCATTAATGACTGTGGAACAAGAGCACCTCGTGCAGCCAGAGATCAAGATTGAAAGAAAAGAATAATAATAGGCCTAGGCCCTATCTGATATTCTGACCCACCCCCACTTTGAGTCAGGGTTCCCTAGAAGGATCATACTCTCCAGTTCATCACTCCTATTAATCAAATTAAATTTCCATCAACAACGTTAAAGTTAAAGCATAGTGCTTTCCATCTTAAAAGGCTGTGGCTCAGTTGTGACCCTTCCCTGACCTCAGAAATACAGAGCAAGTGGATTTCTTTTTTTTTATTACTTACTCATTGGTTCCTGCAACATTCTTGTTCTCTATTATTACTATTAACATCCATTCCATCACAATCTCTTAATAACAAAAGATAAAAAACAAACAATGTCAGTCAAGGTATTCTCATCAAAAGTGATTATATCTGAGATGTGAAGTGTCTGGTTCTGGTTTCTTTAAGTAGATATCTACTTTCCCTTTACTATTATTAAATGTCTTGAGACTTGAGACAATCATTTGACATCAGCTGCTGTCCCTACTGTCAGCGAGCCGTGCTAAAGTGAAACTTATCTTGTTCAATAAAAGTAGGTCAGGGAAGTGTATGGAGAATTGAGGCCACTGTTTCATGCTGAGGTACACGGTTGTACACGCCTTATCTTTAATTTCAAACTCAAGCGTGTGTATATATGTGTGGTATGCACTGTCCTTAGTTGAAGGATAGTCATAGGGCCTACTGGTAAGGGGTGTTATTGTGTTGGCAACTTGGGATTTTATTAAATTTGTATTTATTTATTCTTGTTTGTTTTTATTTTGGGAGGAGGGGGGAGTTGTGAGATCATTATTCTATCAATATTTCATTGTAATGTTTTGTATTTTTTTAAATGTTCTTTTTATTCATGTATTACCTGGCATTGAAATTGTTTCATTAAATTTGTTTGTTGGCCTAAACCTAGATGGAACAAGAGCTCCAGTGTCCCCAGAATTCTTTTACGTTCTTGTTGAATAAATGCCGGAGAGCTGTATTCAGTCTGAATACAGTCAGTTTGATAGAAGTTTCCAGTCCAGGAGCTTTTGTTACATTAACTTGTTTCATTTGCTAATTGTATTCACTGTACATGTTGAAAGGTCAATAGACTAGGGTTTATTCAAATAAATGTATGAATTATATGTGTCTATTTCATTGACATATAATCAAAGATAAAATATTTATAAATGGTAAATGGTCTAAAGAGATTCTTGTTTGACTGAATTGAACGCATGACTTATGTATGCCAGTATCATTGAAATTCAGCTATGAGTTATTGACTCTCCTTCTCTTTTTTTTCAAAGATTATTTTGGTTTCTTGGTGTAGTATTTAAATGTTGTTGTTTTTTTACTTCTCCACAGTAAATAAGCAAAGTTTGAAGGAGTTCTTTACACAAGTGGGATACAAGAACATGGAAATTAAATTTGATGGAAAACGTGCACTTGTGACTGGTGCTGGCAAAGGTTTGGATGCAAATTATATTTTATCCTTTTCTGCTTATGAAATTCTATATATGTCTTTAGGACTGCTATTTTGTTGAAGTTTTTAATGGATTGTTTTGTATTTTTACTGTTCATAGTGTTAGATTATTTAACCTGATGAAGCAAAAGTTAAAAACAGTAGAATAAATAAATAAGGAACGGCTGGTGTATAGGAGGCTTTTTTGTACAGGAAGATGAAAAAAATGATGAATTTCTATGCTTAATAAAATAAATTACAATCAAACAGAGAGGAAGGACAATAGACAACAGTTTTTGTTTTTAAAAGTCTTCTAACGCTGGAGTTTTATTTTGAGTAAAGAGAAGAACATCAACACAATGAAAGTAATTAGTTCATGTACTTTGAAAAAGCGAAACCGATTGACAAATAGGCTACGGAAAAGGGATCACAACATAGTGGGACCTAACAGTGGTAGCTTTTAGTCCCCAATGCTTGGGAATTTGTTTACAGAAATATGGTAAGTTTAAATTATTTTAAAGTGGAATAAACAGATACAACCTTTGTCTATGCACTGTTATAAAATGTTATTATCTTGTCATTTTTTTCTGCATGACTGCTGTGACTCAAGATTAAAATGCATTGGTATCTAGTACTTTAAAAAAAAGTTTTGTCAAAATTACAAGTAGAATGAAGTTATGTTAGGATTTATGTCTTCCTGTTTGTATAAAAGCAGATAAATAATTAAAATTTGTGACCAGGATTACACCAGTGGACAGGTGCCAGCAAAGAAAAGTGACGGATTTGATCAGCTCCAAGTTCATGCTTAGCTATTGCGATGTTTTTCCTAGTTGAAATGCAGGCCTTGAGCTGGATGGTGCTCATCAGGAATTTTCTGGACTTGTGCACCTGAGCTTTTGTGGATCGACAGCTAGAAATGCTCAGCCATACCCTGAGATGAATGGAATCCATCATGTTAAAAACTGAATGGATTGAAGAGTTTCTTTTGCTCTCCTAGTAATATGTATTGGACCTCGTCTTCACATAGAAAAAACTAAAGAATTGCTGCAATAGCACAGTCTTGCACATACATAGCCAGCAGAACATGGAAATCTTTGTTATGTGTACAAATGTTGCTGTGTACGTATTTTAAATACAAATCATGTAAGAAGAAAGATTCAGAACCTGAAAAAATGTTCACTATGTGTGCTCCTCTTTGTATTTTGTGCCTATTAACTGTGGGTGTGTTTGACTGCATATCTTGTAAATGTAAAAAGACTGTAGGATATAGTTCACAATGTTTGCTTTTCCACAGGCCTTGGCAGAGCAATTGCCGTGAAGCTAGCTGCTTGTGGTGCAAAAACAGTGGCACTCAGTCGCACACAAGATGACCTTGACTCTTTAAAGGCTGAGGTCAGATTCTGTGGCATTTTGTCGAAGTTGACCTTCTTTCACTTTCAGGGAAATTTTGTAAAAGGCAACCCTAGCCCTGGGGCTGGTTTTTAAAGTAACGGACCATGTGTCTGCGTTTGAAAAAATTATAGAGATATTTTTTGGTTGTTGCAAAGCATCTATTTATCGACTTTGGAAATGAAGAAGTGTGGGTTACCTCCTTATGTGGTCTGATGAATCTTCATCATATTTCTGGAATACTTTTCCCTGGGACTGGTGTCTGTGGTGTAATAGGCTTTTCATCATCAGCTTATGTGGTAGACATGAGGTAGATTTCCACGTATGGAAGTACTGTAAAACTTGCCCTGACGGCCACCCCTATAAGACGCCCACCTGTACAAACGGCCACTTTCCATTTTCAATGGGTGGCCGTCTTACACAGGTTTGACTGTATCTCCTTCATCCTGCAGGGACCCTATATATTTTATTCAACCCAGGTTGGCCCTGACAGGCAGTTCAAAGCAGCAGACTCTCTAAATGATCTAAATTGTGCTGGGGTCATAAGACATTTACAATCATTACAATCAAAAATAAATTTTTTTATATAGAGATAATAGTAGCCTAATATAGATGTAAAGAGCATAAAACTTTCTGTTGAGTGAAAATTTGTGCTTTACAAATTATATATATATATATATATATATATATATATATATATATATATATATACACAGTCGAACCTGCCCTGACGGCCACCTCTATAAGACGGTGACCTGTACAAACGGCCACTTTCCATTCCCCCCCTTGCTTTTTTTTCTATATAACTTAACTGTGTAAAACGGTCCTGTTCAACGCGGCCGTGGCCACCATATTTTAACACACAACCCCTATCACACTAAGCAATAATGCCTATCTAAGACGGCCACCTTAGTGACTCCATTACGTTTTGTCATAAATTGTGCATTGACCCCTGGCGTTGTGGGCGAGCCGTCATAATTCAATCACTTGTCGTTGTTGTTAGGTAGTCCCTCCAACCGATCATATTGTGTGGGCCCCTCCCTCTGTTGACAAATAGGTAGGCTACCAATTTTCAGTTGCTGGTGAGGTAAGCGTGTGATCCCTCATAACCCATATGCTCCGCCCAGAACTCATACGCAAATCGTTAGTGAGATGAGTGGTCACTGTATACCCAGTCTGTAACAAAGTAACAATGGACGTCAACATGAACTTTTGACAGAAGCTTAGCTCGTTCTCCGAGTGGTGGCAACCCATGTGTTTGTTTTAACACAGCACTTGGTCTTCCTCGTCTGATACATTTTGCTTTATTGTCACCCTTGCGCAAAATCAGCAACAAAATAGAAATAACAAACAAAATACTAATCAACAACAACAACAAAAACAGCAACAATCGATTGGGACTTCAGAAGGGAATGGTTTGTTTTCTTCATCTTGATCAGTCCTGCCTAAGACGGCCACCTGTCTTATACGACCACTTTTCTCCTTGACAATGGGTGGCCGTCTTACACAGGTTTCAATCTATAAATCCTGAAGAGGGACCTAGTTCCCCATCTGTGAAATAACCGATGCGTCGTGTAGGTATTTTTGACTTATAAAATAACACTTTACAAAACAAACAAGCAAATATATTGATAAAACTTGTAAAAAGTGCCATGCATTTTTAAAAAACTTCAAGATTTTCTAAAACCTGGAGGGTGGGTTGAAATTTCAACTGATAATAATGCTTGGAACATTGTCAAGAAATCTGAGTCAGAGTGGTCTTTGACAGTTTAATTAGACAGTTTTTAGCCTCTCTTGTAAAGTAGACTTCCTGGAAGATGACTCATCTGTGCCCAACACCAACGTTGTGTATCACACTGATGAACTGTTTTTCTTTCAGTGTCCTGCTATTGAGACATGTTTAGCAGATCTGAGTGACTGGACCACAGCGAGGCAGACCATCCAGGGCCTGGGACACTTTGACCTCCTGGTGAACAGTGCTGGAGTATCCAGAGTTGGTCCGTTCCTTGAAACTAAAGAAGAAGATTTTGATTAGTGAGTTTCTCTCTTCTTATGTTGGCAAGAGGTAGTCAATGGAAAAATAGACGTTAAATGTCCTAGCAACTGCAGAAACACATGGATCATGCCAATTGCTCAATTTCTGTGATTCTGAGTTAAACTTAAAACCTGTCTTGGGTGCCAATGATCAAATGTCATTGTGGCTTTTGATAAACACAGACCTAAATTTCATTTGTAAAGAAGACAAAAAATCTATCGAGTTGTTGGGAAAAAATGCCAATTTTCTATTTTTTTAACATTAGTACTGTGTACACTAATTGAAGCACCAAAATGCTATTTTTTGTAACATGGCTTAGTTTTAGAGTAGGCTTACATAATATTACTCACATGAAGGGTAAAGCCTAAAGACTCAAAAGACTAGACGTTATACTCAATTAAAAAGTGGTACCTTTTTTTTAATGCAAGTATATTAGCTTTGTATGGTTTATGATTTGGTTATTTTTAAACTCCTTTTTTTTTCTTGTTTATGTTTTCAGTGTCTTCAACACAAATGTCAAAGCATTATACAACGTTTCCCAGGTAAGGATTTTGATTCGTAAAGTTTTGCTTATCTTGTCTTCAGTTGCTTTTGTATTTGTATAAATTTGACTCCCTACTAGATTCAAACAGGTACCTTTACTAATGGTTCCACACTCTCTCAGGTTTGGAGGGACCATTTTTTTGTATACTGGACTGTCAGTCAACAAACTTCTGTGAAAGAGAGCTTGATAAATGACTTGTAGTAAGTATGTAGAAAAAAGTCTCACCTTGGAAATCACAGAGGTTGTGGCACCATAAGAGAGGCAACACACCGGTGAAGAAGTTACTCTCACTAGCTGATTGTTTATATTGCTTGACACAATTTGGTCAGTACCACCGTGAGTAACCCTATAATTGTGAATAGTATTGTGTTTGAACTTACAGGCTCAGGCAATGGAGATAAACAATAGACAACGAATTTGATTGATGACTCTTAAGTAATGTGTCAAAGAATAAGTCATATGGGTACCGATTTGATTACTTGTCTGTCCTATAAAAATAGTGCATTTCAAAAATCACTAATAAGATTTAAGAGATTATTATCACAGGGTTTAGATGGGTGGTCAGTGAGATGTGTCCTTGAGCAAGACACAACAACCCTATCTAAAAAAACAAGGCGCTACACAGTGGCGACCAGCAATGGTAAGTTTGTGAAAATCTCTCTGTATGATGTGATAATGTGTATTTATGTATGTATGTATTTTTAATTATGTATTTATGTTATATATATATGTTTGCCATTGTAACCCAAATTGGCCTATATATGGAACCAGAGTAGATACTGTAAGCTGGTGTTGGAACATGCAGGGTTGTTGTCAAGACAACAATGTGTTTCCAGTCTCATCACTGTCTTTGTCAAATTTTTAGATGAAGGGAATTTTATTCAGTTGTCAAGGTCATAAATTTCCTTGAAAAAATGAAAATGTTATAGTCTCATGTTTTTACATGAGCACCCTTTTGAGATCCATTGGGTTTTACTCCAGTTATGTACTGCGCCATTACTCGAACTGTCCTTCGACTACGTTTCAACTGTTGTTTCTTACTTACTTTTTATTTTTACTTTTTCATCCTCTGTTGCCGATAAGTGTTGAGGGGGAGATGCAGTTTTCTATGGTAGGCCAGCTCCGCAGCTCTTTCAATTGTGATATTATGATTTCTCAGGATTTCCTGGACTCCCTCAATCCACCTTTTCCATGGCTTTCCTCTTCCTTTATAGCCTGAGTGCTTGGTGTTATATGCTCTCAAGACATACGTAACAGGTGGCTAAACCATTTTATTCTCAGTCTTTCTATGAAATGCAGGCAGTACTCAGTGCCAATAGCTGCTCTTATTACTTCATTTCTCTGCCTGTCTTGTCTTACGATGTTAAGGGGTTTGCAGAGGCATTTCACCTCGCCTGCAGTGATTTTGCTTTCATGGATTTTACTTAATGTCCCGGTCTGGCCCTGGTAGCATAATGTTGGTATAAATATTGAAGTGATATGCTGTCGCTTACTGTCTATGGAGGTGTTTGGATGAGATAGGAGGAGTGTGACCTGGTAGATGACAGTGTTGTCTTTTTGAGTTCACATTTCTATTTCTCTGTCTATGGACCAACTTTGAGAAAAAGTGCTGCCAAGATATTTTAACTCCTTCACTTGTTTCAGTTGTTTCCTACTGACATTGATTTTCAGGGGACTATGGTTTCAGCTCACTTTCATAACTTCTGTTTTTTGATGTGCTTATTTTCATGTCAAAATTCGTGCAGATGTTGTTCAGTTTGATAGTGGGATTTTGGAGGCTGTGTTGGCTTGGATGAATAAGACACTGGTCGTTTTCGAATGAGATAAGATAAGATAAGATAAGATCCATAGAAGTTCATTTAGGCTTCCTGGGCTTTGGTTTTCTTCTTGCGTTATTGCGTCCATATAGATTATAAACTGGAGGGGAGATCAAACACGTCCCTGTCATACTGCAGATCTTACTTTGAACCAGTCTTTATTGCCTTCCTTTGCTCTTACTGAGCTTCTTCTGTTGGTATAATATAGAGTTCTGACATTATTTAATAGTATTCCTCTGACACCATACTTTTCAAGTGTCTTCCAGAGTTTTGCATGGTTTACTCTGTCAAAAGCCTCCTTCTTTTATAAAGACAATTTTGGATTTTTTGTTGTGTTTGATGGTTCTCTCGCATAGCTGTCATAATGTGAATGCAGCATTCGTGTGTCCTCTTCTCTTTTGGAATCAGAACTGAGTTTTGCTCTGATTTCTCTCTACGATAGGTCTTATCCGCTGTCCTAATATCTTGGCGTATGTTTACTCTGCGTTGCTTAACAAAGAGATGCCTCACTGTTGTTTACTTTGCTGATCTGACTTGAACATTTTTATCAGATAAGACTATCTCATAGCTAACATAAAAAGATGAGGCTTGTAGGTCTTTTATCTTCCCTATCAATCTCTAATGTGTACTCGTATGAGATGTCTTGCTTTTCACTAGCACGAAATGACATGACCTTAATTGTATAGATGTGATTTTCTTTATCTCAAACTAAAAGAGTACATGGTTACTTTGATATTTTAGTGAAGATACGGAAAAACATACATCATCAAAATGAGTTTAATCTGTGCACACTTTACCTCCTTAAAGATACTTGCTTTCAAGCTAAAGCAAAATACAAGGTGATTAAAAAAGAATACTCCAAAATCATCACACGATATTTCAAAAAATGAAAAACAATAGAAAACTCTAGCTTGGGCACAGTGCACATACCTTCAAGTTTTTATTTCATGTTTTACAAGTTCTCAATGTGGCCACCACCGGCAGCACAGACGACATCGAGCTGATGAGAATTTCTCCCAAACGTGCCTCAGGATGTCTGGGTCCACCATATAGAGTGTAGCTGTTATTCGATCTTTCATGTCTTTGATATTTGCTGGAAGTGGTGGAACATAAACTTTGTCTCTGGAAGTATAACATGCTGATTTTGGCATATTCTTTTTAATCACACTGTATAATGAGTATTTTGTTAGCAGATTATTCTATTACAACTGCAGGTCAACATTTAAAAACAGAAACATGTCGCTTATGAAAGTATATAATGTAACCAGCATCAGACAAATGTCCAGCATTTTGAAAACCATTCTTATGAGCTTGAGCCAAAAATAATGACTAAACTAGAGTTGACTCGCAGTCACTTCCAAGGACAAACTAAGTTGACTTTCTTGCTTTTGCCACATTCTAGATTTGTAGTAGCTTACCATAGAAAGATTGTCTAAACTATTACAATTACGTTGGGGTTTTTTGTGGGGGGGTTTTTAGGTTTTTTTTACCAAGACAGATTTTTGACCAAATATGGACTTTAAAGACACAGTAACTAAGTTGGGTTTTTTTTGGTATTTGACCATTAGGCACCAGAATGGTACTACATATTTTATGGACTTTCAATTAAGATAAAAGAGAGAACTCAATTTGGAAAATATTGATAATGTTATACGTAAGAACTCAAGGGTCACATATGATTCTGTTCACAGGTAGTTGCCAAATCAATGGTAGAAAAGAAGTCTGGTGGGGCCATCGTCCAGCTGTCCAGTGCCGCGTCCACCCAAGCCTTGAAGGACCATGCTGTTTACTGCTCCACAAAGGGAGCTGTGGATTCCCTTACCACAGTTATGGCCCTTGAGCTTGGACCTCACAATGTGAGTGACAACTGCTGGTCCCATCGATGGCGTTATGCTCTGACTGTGTGAATGGTTTCTTGAAAAGTGTGTTTATCTCTTCTGATTTAAATGATGAGGAAAAACAACACAAATGTTAGCTCCCAGTACTTTTACACTATTTATAGTGTATGGTGATACCTTTTTTACTTTTTTTGTCGATGATCTGCAGATCTACCTCAGCATGGTTTAAAACAAAGTGTTGACCTGTTTTTTCCACTAACACAGTAAGAGCATAACATCATTGATGTTCTTTTAAGTTCCCCATGTGAGTGACGATCCTTTTACAATATGTATTGAGACTGTTAACACTCAAATTCCTTTGACCTCGCAATGTGAATGACTTTTAATGCTTATATCATGGCGTCAGTAATCTAGTCATTAGGCTGCCGGACTCGCAGCTGTGAGGGCACTGATTTAAATATACGTCTGACCATGATGATGTGTTCTATGGAAAGGCACTTTCCTCAAATTTTCTTCTTTTTACTATGTTGGGAATGGGTACTCCGCCCTGACCGTGAAATACCTTACCTTGTCATTATGAAAGTGTCTACCTGTCTGTCTCTCTCTCTCTCTCTTTCTCTCTCTGTCTCTATCTCTCTCTCTTTCTGTCTCTCTCCCCCTGGTATTGGGTAAATGCTGCGAAGAAGGGTTCTCCACATTTCTTTATCCTGGGCGATCTTCTCAACCTACAGCCAGCTGTGCCCCTTCTGTATGAGATCTTCTTTAAGACCTCATTCTCTGGTGGATCTCATCCTTCCTCTTTTTGTCTCCACCATGGGCATCAACGTCTCCCAAGCTTTGTAACTGGTTGTTTTCTTCTCTCGACGTGTCAATTGAGACATATTTATTTTGTAGGGTAAGAATCTAGCTTTATGCCCCATCCCTAACCTGGAGGACCAAGTGTCTCTCTTTCAGGCGGCATTACCTGTGTTGTCATTTAGTCTGCTCTAACAGCATCCAAGCCTCATTCTAAAAACAGGGCTCTGGTGTGGTCTGCTTCTTCTTTCCTATCAAACATCTATCATCCTTATCTCTCCTTTTTTGTGTTTGTTACTCTCTTATAACACCTCTAATCTTCAGTGCTTATATAACCTTATTGTGTTGCAAGTGCCATAATACACTAACTAAAAAACATAATTCAATTTATATAGATTCATTCACTTAGGAGGCGGGCTTTGACTCTACATGTCAGAGTCAACCTGGATTGAGAAGGAGACATCGCCCCACCAAAAAAAAACAATATTATATTCAATAAACATTCTCCACACATGGGAATCTAAATCAGATCATCTGTGTGCAACCACAAAGCACCTAGCTACTGCACCACAAACGCCAGAGCCCTAGCTGAACTGATTTGTGTCTAGTAAGGCAAAAAAGCCAAATCGTCCATTTTGATTGCCATTCTTGTCACAGAGTGCTCGCCACTAGAATGCAGCTGGTTTTCCGGTTGGTGCTGAGAAGTCCCAAATCTTTACTCCAACCACAGATAGCTCCTACTGTGCTATTTCTGTCAGTGAATCTTGTTTTTCCTATCACTGAACGGCCGTTTTTGTGTCCATGTGCTTCTCTTTACTCAAACAAATTACCAAAGTGTCTTAACGATATTTTTTTCTTCACACTAATTAAGTGACTATGATCTGTAATAATAAATCCATAGACAGGAGTCAAAACCTACTAATTTCTTCACCAACCCATGACTTGTCACTTCTGTACAATGCTGACAACTCCCCCTCCCATTTCTCTCCCCCCCCCCCTTCTCTCTCCCTCTCTCTTCTCTCTCTCTCTCTCTCTCTCTCTCTCTCTCTCTCTCTCTCTCTCTCTCTCTCTCTCTCTCTCTCTCTCTCTCTCTCTATCTATCTCTCTCTCTTTCTTTCTTTCTCTTTCTTTCTCTCTCTTGCGCACGCGTAGACAAATTTGGTAATGGTTTCGTTACTTCCATTTAGGGACGACCACGTTATGCTGTATGAAATTTTCTTATATCTAGCTGTGAGCCCTGACTGATGTGCGATAAATTTATTACCAATGATTTGTGCTGCTCTCAAGTCGTTTGCTTAAAAAAACAAAATTAATTTTCAAAAACTTCTTTCAACGTTTGCGATGATCCATCAATTCGTGGAGGAACGTCTCCATTGTGACACTTGGTATAGAGACACCTCAACTATAAATACGCCATAAAGATTCTATTGCTGATCTTTGCTCTCTTTGAATCTCCTACCACGTTTGTTCTAACCTGGGCCCCCTACCCCTGTCGGGAAAGAACACTAAATAACAGGCTGGCTATTTGGGACAGCCTCATCTCTGCCGACAGTTCCCCCGCTCTGTGCGGACGTGCCACCAATACATCAGCTCCTTCCTTTTATTTTTGCCATAGCTGACGATATCCGATATATGGATAAGGTTAAAGGACGCTCTCTCTCTCTCTCTCTCTCTCTCTCTCTCTCTCTCTCTCTCTCTCTCTCTCTCTCTCTCTCTCTCTCTCTCTCTCTCTCTCAATTAACGTTTTTCATTTTGGACAAGTCATGGGGTTTTTTGTTGGTATATGGAGCTATTGGTGCAGTCTTTACCTATTCATTTGCCTTGCTTTTTTGGGGGGAAAAATTCATGTGTCTTCAATAGAAGTCCAGACATTTTTGCGATTGAAGGAGGTGGGGGCTGCCAGATGTTAGTGGAGGTAAAATTAGTAAGAAATGGCCGCCAAAATTTGGTGACCTCTAAAGTTTTAGTGTCATTAGAAACGACAAATATCTACTATTTGTACCTTTTATCCATGTTTTTTCTGTAAAATTTAGACTGGAATGTCTTTTTAAAGAACTCTGAAGGTATAGAACCCGACACAAACAAAAAAACTGCTGCCATAAAAAATGCCCAACGTGCGGAAAAATGTCGGTTTCTCCGATTTCCTTATTTTGACGAGCGCCTGATTTCACCACACAGTATTTTTTTCTCGAGAGACGTTTGTGAATCGGTTACTGCACCGTTCTCGTCGCTAAGATCACGCTGTCACCACAAATACTATTACATGAATGTCTCTGTTAAGCCTTGAACAATCCTTTTATTTATTTTCATCGTATAAAAATGTGAGAAATTAAAGTTACTTAAAAGTGTGCCGATTTTTTAAAGTTTCCACGAACACACACACACAAACACCAACACACACACACACACACACACACACACACACACACACACACTACCACACACACACATTACCACACACACACATACACACACACACACACACACACACACACACACCATAACACAAACGCACACACACACACACACACACACACACACACACACACACACACACACACACACACACACACACACGCAGATATTTAGTATATCATAATACATGTATTATAATGGAAAATAGTCAAATGCATGATAAACAATAAGTGTAGGGAATTGATGAGCAATCGCTAGCAAAATGAAGTGCGTCTGAGTTGTGTTTCATTCTTTCATTCATTCATTCATTCATTCATTCGTTCATTCATTCATTCATTCATTCATTCATTCGTTAATTCACTCCTTCTCTCTCTCTCTCTCTCTCTCTCTCTCTCTCTCTCTCTCTCTCTCTCTCTCTTCCTCTCTCCCTCCCTCTCTCTCTCTTCCTCTCTCTCTCTCTCTCTCTCTCTCTCTCTCTCTCTCACACACACACACACACACACACACACACACACACACACACACACACACACACACACACACACATGGGCAAGCCCGCGTGCGTTCGCGGAAAGTTGGGCTTATCCGGACCCGCATAAACACAGGCGCCGTCTGCAAAAAGATTGAAGAATGCGGGGTTTGGGCGGTTGCTCGGGTGTGGTTTGCTCCTTCTTTCCTTCAGACATCTATCCTCCTGATCTCTCCTCAGTCTTTTTTTATTTGTATGTGTATTTCTTTGTTACTCTCGTGTAACACCTCTAATCTTCGGCACTTACATGACCGTATTGTATTGCAAGTACCGCAAAACTCTTATTAAAATAAAACAAACTAAATCACACTGACGTGGCACTCATAATGACGGCACCAACAGATCCAAACTCTTCTCCCGCCAGTACACATCCCCTACCCTCCACTCCCCCGCTCTTAAAGGGTTCAGTTGTATACCCGACCGAACCTCATGCGGAACATAACCCATAGCAGCCAGCTTCGTGCCCAAACCGTGTACCCTCTCCCTCGAGCACGCGGTGCCGGCCAAGTGCTGCCTCTCCGTCATCTGTCTCCACTCCATGAAAATGTAAGGCACTGAAAACGCAGAAAAGAAGGCCGACGACACGCCCAATGCTCGGCACTCGTATCCCTCTGAAAGAGAAAGAGAACGTTCGTCGTTAAATAAATACCTCCAGAAGTTACTCTTAATAAACAGTTTGGGGGTTTTGTTTTGATTTTTGCCGTTGAATGTCCTGGCAACAGCAGAGACGCCCGAAGCGTGCCGATGACTCTGTTCCTCTGATGTTGATTTAAACCTGCCGTATTTATTGGGTGACAATGGGCACATTTTGTTGCGGCTTTTGATAAACACAAACCTAAACTTCATAATTTATAAAAAAAAAAGGAATAGAACAAATCATCCACGTGGTCGGGAACAATAATTTGTTAGGGTGTGTGTGTCGGGGGGGGGGGTTAAGTTGGTGCTGTGAACGCTCATTTAAGTACCAAAGATTTTTAAAAATAACATGACCTACTATTTAGAATACCTAGTATTACTCAGGTGAAAGTGAAAGCATAGAGACTTTAAAGGTAAGAAATGTTTCACAATTTATTAAAAAAATGGTACATGTAGCCTACCGGGGTTTTCTGAATCGCCAGTAGGTAAATGTATTTTCTCGTGAGTGTTTGCATGTGTATGTAGACAAGATATTGACTGAAGCCTATAACTTCAGCTGAAAACAGAATAAAATTTAGTAAATTACTCACTAACTGCACTGGGACCCACCTATGTCTAACTTTAGTATCACAGTCGAAGTGGTCACGAGCCGAGCTGTGTCGTCCAGTGTAATCGTCGGGATGTGACAGTTCTGTCCCCTTGTGGGCGTGTCCTCCTCCGACATAGCCCCGCCTGGCACAGGCGAACGGGCCGCCCCACAGTCTATCACCCTGATCCCGCCCTGGTTTTCTGAGTTGTCACTCAGGCTCACGTTGCGAAGGGGCGTGTCCGAAAGGGCGTTGGCCAATACCAGGATGTTGTCGCCCCAGTGGCTGCTGGAGGCTCCGCCCACAAGACGTCGGACGTTTTTACTCTGGGAAAGAATCGCGTTAATCGCAGAGATGAGACATTTGTGTTTGAAGCAAAGCAAGAACCGCAAAACATGACATTGTGTAACAATAAAGTCGTGGTTGGTCCTACATATTGCCTGTATATTTTCTCGAAGTCAAGTTCATATTTCCAGTGTTTTCTCTAAGTCAAATTGTTTTCTTTGGGGG